TACATTTATTATTAGTTAAAGTAGGATATTTTGTAGCTTCCACCACAACAGCCACCATATTGGTACAATAGAGCTAATCAAACTCATACTTTATGGCAAAATGAAGCTGATCGACAGAATCGTGAAGCTAGCGGATATGGTAATACTATTCAAACTAGCTACGATTATGCAGATTATCGTGGTGATCAACGTAAGTACGATAAATCAATCGGTGATTATGATGGTTTCGTATCACAAATGCAATATACAACAGATATGGGTCGTAGTGATAATGGTCCGGAAAGTGTACAACGACAACAACAATATATGACAGAGCATGGGATACCAACTACACAGAGCAATTATTTAAATTATCCTCCTGCTATACCTGTTGGACCACCACATCCGGTATCATCCGGTACTCAACAACATTCATCCACCTGGCAATCACAAAGGTATAACATTGTAGTAAAATGTAGACCAATTGAATAAATATCTATTTAGAGTCAAAAAACAAAACAATAAATATTTATCGATAATTACATTATCTAATTTAATTTCATATAAAAATAAATATTAATGGTTAAAAAAAAATTTTTTTTTTTCAATAACAGTTCACGTTATGAACAAAAAATGCATGAGCGTTCCACGGAAAGAATGATAAGTAATCAACCAATTAGTGCAACTGCATTACCGGTAATGAATCAAGCTGAAAAATATGCGATCGAAAAAACGAATTATCAACGAAAAACACATCACGAAACTGCTGCACCTTATAATACCTCGATTGTATCTGTTACGCAAGGTAGCGGTAATTTCAATCGACGTGCTGAAATGTCTGAGGTATCCGATTATTTTACTACTGATAACTTCTTTGTTTATCATTTATTGAGTTCTCTTTTTTTTTAAAATCATTATAATGAATGCTGCTTGGACCAACAAAGTATTCCAAATATTTTTTGGAAATGTGCTAATATTAGCCATTTTTAAATTCATTACCTATCAGTAACAAAGGTACTACAAAAATTTGAAACTTATACCTAATAATAGAATTAATTGGCATATAGTATATTCTAATATCTTTATCGACCAGTAAATATTACTTTCTAAACTACTGTAAAAAATACTTCATTTTCATTTTTG